AAACCGCTATTAATTACATTACATCTCAATCTTGCTGTATCACCGATTTGTACGAGCCCCGTTCCACATTGTCGATATTTTCATGAATTATAATAATTCTTTATAAAAAAAGAAATAGCTGAACTGCATGGTTTTCAATTGTTTTAATTGTTCAAAATTAAATTTTTCTAACGCAGTTGCTTTAAAATGTAGGTTCAACAAAAATATCTGATGCATTTGTGGAGTAGTAATAAAATGAAATAACGTACACCTTCTGAAACTAAATTACATACTAATCGTCCAATGGTTTTACTCAAAATCTATCTTCACAGGATATTCAAAACGGTAGCTGTACTTTCGAAAATGCTGGTGACGTTGTTCATTGTGGTTGGCTTGTAACTGGTGTTAACAGATACCAGTGGACATTACGCAAGGGGAAAACTCCAACATTATTCACAGGACCAGACAGAGATCACACGACTGCGTCTGGTAAAGTAAAATTGCAAACGTAACATTGTAAATGAACGTCAACTTCAAATTATTATGATTTCGCAAAGACAGCAAGTTACTCCGTTCGACTTTGAAATTAATCTTTTAAAAAATTAATGACATTAAATGTTACCGTGAAATATTAAAATTCATGCAAATATAATAATAGTAATGTTGTACATTGTTGTAGTGGATTTCACTGGATAGAATCATAAGTTAAATCTTTATAACAGAAACGTGCGTATCTATAATAGCAGTGGTACGATGTGTTTAAACTTGATATATTGACTTAAAAACTCCGACACTTGTATAATTATATGTAAAATGCACTTTATCGGTTTATAATAGATTCTAACTGGTCACTAACTTTGAGAAAATAATATATTATAATTCGTGTGGTTCTAATCGCGTCCGTTGGGATGTTACACTATTGTTGCAGATATGGGTGAAGGTTAGTACCTATTATAACGTTTAAACCCGCTGCATTTGTTTGCACCTGTCCTAAGTCAGAAATCTGATGTTCAGTAGTTTTCGTTTGTTGATGTGGTTCATAAGTGTTTCTCGCTTCTCGTTTTTTAAATAGATTAGACCGTTGGTTTTCCCGTTTGAATGGTTTGACTATAGTCATTTTGGGGGCCTTTTATAGCTTGCTGTTCGGTGTGAGCCAAGGCTCCGTGTTGAAGACCGTACTTTGACCTATAATGGTTTACTTTTACAAATTGTGACTTGGATGGAGAGTTGTCTCATTGGCACTCATACCACATCTTCTTATATCTATATATTGTTTAACTGAAATTTGGTGTAATAAAATTTTAGAAATTATTTAGGAATAAGGAAAATACATCCATCATGTAATGATCTGATTTGTTGTCCGGATGTTGCTCTTTTTTATGTCTTTTTCGATTTGATCAGCTCTTCAAATAAAATTGAGAATGGAAACACGGGGAATGTGTCAAAGAGACAACAACTCGACCAAAGAGCAGAAAATAGGCCAAGGCCACCAATGGTTCTTCAACACAGCGGGAAAATCCCGCACCTGGATGCGTGCTTCTGCTTGCCCCTGAACAACTTTGTATTAGATTTTGAGTTTTCAAATATTTTGGTCTCGAACATCACTGAATAGGCGTCAATTGTCAAAATGAACATCTGGTGCAATAAAATTGATTTGACAATGAGGCAACAAAGAATAATTTTGAAAGGAAAATAGTATACTGCCATCGACGTCGATTCAAATATGATGCACCAAAATGCGAATGTGTATAAACAATTAGAAATAATATAACAAAATGACTTTGGTAACTTATTCTGATACATTCGTCGATACAAGATCGAAACTATATACAAATCCATACGTTATTCATCATACTCATGTTCTGCCTCTATATATAGCAGTAACACAGTGCATATAGCAAGTTAAAATGGGTTTTCTATAATATTTACATTTTTTTTATGCATAACGCAAAGCCATCTATACTTTTCAGCATATGGTTATTATGCTTACACAGTATCCAAAAGTGAATCGACATCAAATGACGAAAGTGATTTACATAGTGGTTTGATAGTACCAAGTACAAAACAGTGTTTAACATTTTGGTATCATATGTATGGGAGAGATGTCAATACCTTAAAAGTATTGCAAATGAACAGTGAACATAACATTGAACTGTGGAACAAATCGGGTAGTCAAGGGAAAAAATGGTATTTCCAATCACTTGCATTGCAAAATATTGGTCCTTATCAAATTATATTCAAAGCGATTCGTGGTAATGGGTATAGAAGTGATATAGCTGTTGATGATATATTTATAAAAAACACCGTCTGCAACACAGGTAAGACATTAACCACTATTTGCGTTTAAATCAATGATTCTTGGATAATAAAAATCTTAGTTTTAGATTTATTTTCCGGTCTATAAACCAACATGGTTACAACGACTTGAAATATAATATTGGGGTTATTATACGTATCTTGAAATCTTTGGCAGGAAGCACCAATCGTATACTGTCATAAATGCTCCGACAGTTCTATCGTAAACGTTTTGATTCCTTATTGGACATGTTAGGTTTATTTTCCCTGAATGATAATTTTCACGATATTTTAACCGTTTTATGATATTATCTTCAAAACAATAATGGATCGAGAAAAATCTGTAAAAGTATTGGCAAACTGAGAAAACGAATAACATCATTGCTTGGTAATATTAAGGGAAAAGTCTACGGGAGGTTGGTTCAGTTGTGCAATTAAAGAATTAGGCTCAGTAACAATGGTTTTACCCGAAAAGCGGTTCAGGTTCCTATGTTTTAGTTACAATCATGTAAGGTTAGGCAAATTAACAAATATATATATTGTTTTAGGCATTGCTGTTCGATTTTACGTAACCTTGATTTAATTTTAATGGTTACATGTAAATGATTCATTTTCCGTATTATTTTTTCTCAGTTCTGGAAGTAACAGATATTAACCAACTGTGTTTTGTCTATTAAGTGTTTGTAAGGAACTATTGTCTGTGCCTGTCATCAATGTCATTGTGGAAATAACTATCTGACATGTTTTGCACATCACAAATACTAAATAAAACCTCTTATAACAATATCTTATTAAGCAATAAAAATTTAAACAAACCGAAACCAAAAGAGCATGTACTAGAACACGTAAAGAAGACTAAATCACCAGGCAACACAAAATACATGTAGTCGGTGTAAGCATGCTTAAACGTAAGAATTATGCTACAATGTAATATAAAGATGATACCTAGTATTTGGTTACATTCAAATAAGTTTCTATCAACCTCATAAACAGAAATGTTGCGCATTTGTCAAGTGTAATTTTTTTTAGATATGTAATATGAAAAATCGATATCAAGTATTGAAACAAACTAATTACATTACATTGAATATAAACTCATCATAGATACCAGGTTTAAAATTTTGTACGCTAGATGCGCGTTTCGTCTACAAAAGACTCATCAGTGACGCTCAAATTTTTTTTTAAAAAGCCCCCAAAAAAGGACAAAGTTCAAGAGGATTGAGGACCCAAAACTCAAAATGATTCAAATACAGCTAAGGTAATCTCTTCCTGGGATAGAAAATCTTTAGTATTTAGAAAAACTATAAGTTTTACAAACAGTTAATTTATACTTATAACAATATCATGAATCATATATGATAATTCATGTCAACAGAAGTGCTGACTACTGTGCTGGTGATATTCTCGGGGAGAAACCTCAACCAGAAGTGAATTTTCATACGATTATGTTATTTTGATTGACCAAGGCATTCCAAAAGCTGTATTCTAAGTCCATATAAAATGCAACATATATGACAACAGCACGTGCTCTTCGTAACAATGTTAAAACAACACACACAGAAACAAAGAAAAGCATGATTTAACTCGAAGATTTACCGTTGTATTATTAGAATGTAATCATAAAATAACAGAAAAAAAACGAGTACGTTATAATATAAACATTCTTGTATAATTTTAACAATCATAAGTACACTCCGTGAAAAAAACCTATCATTATAAGATTAACAGGTTGGGAACAAACCCTCTACATGGTGTTTTTACCTGTATAGAGGGATATGCACTTTATTAAAAATTGGGATGCCCAGTTTTTTGCTAAAGTGACAGAACTTGAAATCTATTGGATAGCTATCTGAACACCTGATCTACAACAAAAGGGACAGTTGACCTTTAAATTTTATGTTAAATCTAACAATAGAAATTCTGTTCAGTGAGGCATAATTGAGTAGAATTTACCTGATCAGCACAGCTTTCAATTATGATGAACAATAGATTGTATCTTCAGTCAGTTTAGCAGTAAATTAAGTACATCAATTGATGCATACAATGCTATAGATTATAGCCAATATATTTTTATATTTTACTTTAAATCCAGTATAAACAAAAATAATTTTATCCCTCTATAGAAGGATAACCACTCTATACAGGTTAAAACACCATGTAGAGGGTTTGTTCCCAACCTGATTAATGTTACACCAAATTTACAATAACTTTGACAAATCTCACTACTAGCCTTGTTTGTAGTCTGCTCGACTGTCTTCTCTACTACTTGATTGTCTATTATTGTCCTTTGTATCCCAATGAATTTTTTAGAAAACTATTTAGTAACGCTTCGAATACCAGATAATTAGTTTGTTTGGTGTATAAAGCTCATCAATTACTTGATTACTCTTTGTTGCCTAATCTTGTTTGCTAATGGATCACATGTTACTCTGAAGGCATGTTTGTTTCGCGTTGATTTTTTCGTTTGGATTGTTTCACATTTTGTCATGTCGGGGCCTTTTATAACTGACTACAGGGTATCGGGTTTGCTAATAATGTTGTAGGCCGTATGATTACCTATAGTTGCTGTAATCACCTTTATTTTTACTCTGTATTTTAAAGGACGACCACTTAATATTCCGAGGAGGGGGTGCAGAATTGTGAAAATTAATAGTCTGGCCTGGTTAGGACTTAAAAATAAATAACCTTGACCAAACAGAATGAAAAAGTATATTTTACCTAACACAATGCAGTAAATAAAGGTGAACAAAAGTAAAGAGTAATGTGTGCACGTCAAAACCGTAAAAAGTTGAACATTAATTTCCCTCAGAAAAAAATCTACCTTCCCCTAAAAATAGCAACTGGTTGTCCCCTTAGTTTTCTCATTGGCAATCATACCACTTCTCCTTATTTTATATGTGTCTTTCAAAGAAACAATGCAACAAATTGAAATAAATAAGTATACCATAATCGAAAGGACAAATGCACTATGTAAAAAAAGACGACAATGACGAATGACGGATGTGTACGGGTAGATAATAAACTATATATGCTAATTTCACATTATTTTATATATGACCTTGGCATAAAGATACTAGTATACAGACATCCATAATGGACTAACAAATTCTTTTCATCGATATGGAGTTTTCATCTAGAAATAGACTTTACGGACATTCAACAGTTGGGGAAAAGGCTATATAGGTACAAAAATATGCTTCCAATGCCACCCACACGGAAAACCTCCTTCATGGGCCATTTGGAATTAAATATTTCAATATTTTAGGTGGACCTTCAAATAAATTTCATCTCGTTGACTTTTTTCTAATGCTTACATGAATTAGATTGATTTGGAAAATATTGCTTACGTCCCGGGGTCACTGTTGTCATGAACAATTGTGGCTTTCACCACAGTAGATTCGCCGAAAATACCCTTTTACTTATTTTGGGACACCGTCATAAAGATTTATCATATCAATCTCTATATCACACAGACTTGAATACATGTGAAGTATTTTTAAAGTAATGAGACTATTTGCATAGTCATATGAATTACGCACGTGAATTGACTGAGATGGCTATATGTGACGGCCTAGAACAAGTTACAGCGTCGAAGTCTATTTCTATATATTGTGGATGTGGTTATTTGTAAAAAGACTTGCTGTACTTAGTATATTATACATATCCTTATAATCAATTCAGTTAAATTTGTACATGTGATTCTTTTGTGAAATGTAATTTTTTTAGGGGGAGGGTGATGGTACAGAGATCTATTGAAAGTATAATAGGGAAAAGGAACTTCATATGATTGCTTATTTATAAATCTGACATAAGGTGAATACTACTATGCCCCAACCGGTTAGATAAAATAAAAAAAAATTTAGTCAGAGGCTATTTATAACATAACAATGACTTCTCAACTCATTGACGAGTTTATATGGCCAAGCCAACTAATTATCTGGTATTCGAAGCGTTACTAAATACATTTCTAAGGAATTCATTGGGATACAAAGGACAATAATAGACAATCAAGTAGTAGAGAAGACAGTCGAGCAGACTACAAACAAGGCTAGTAGTGAGATTTGTCAAGGTTATTGTAAATTGGGTGTAAATACCTGATTTTTTCCTCATGGTAGCTTACATACTGCAAAAAAAGTTTCTTGTATTCTTGTAAGTAAGTTGTTGGCGCATTAAGTAATGATTTCAATCACACTTTGATGAACCCTTTCATCTATTTTAGATGACAATCTTGTAGTAAATGCAAAAACTATATCAAAGATATATTATCAATAAACATTTATATACTATTGCACATGCCATTAAAGTCTATATTTTTACATATGTGGTTTGTGTATGTGGTTTAGCTTCCAGAGTTGATTGCAATTTTGAAGATGATTCTTGCGAATGGAAATCTGAACCGAAAGCTGCATATACCTGGACAATTTTGTCCGGCAAAACTCCTACTTCTTGGTCTGGACCGGATGTTGATCATACAAGTGGATCCAGTAAGATGTTTATTAAATGTTTTGATTATGCTATATAATACATAATAGTTTTACCTAATACCTGATACGTATCCTTTACCACAGTAAAAAAGATTGACCATAGTCCAAAAACAGCTGTTGCTGTTCAGTAACTTTTGTAGAAAATTTAGCACAGTAAATGATAGCTACGTAACACTTTTGTAGGCTGCAAGACTATCGATTGTCTGCAAATTAAGTTTCCAAACAGTACTGAAATTGACGCATAAAACATATCCCAAATTAAATTGGCAAACTGAAGATAGTCGTGCTATCATGACCACGTGATTTCGGTTGTTGTTTGGGTATATTTTTGATTCGGAGTTGGTGGTTGATATGGTATGTTGTACAGAATCTCGTTTCTTTTTTTTTCAATTTACCCTTACACTGTCGAGCGGTAACAAGTAAAATATCTAAAAATTTCAATTTAAAGTGAAGTACGGGGATAGTCTTACTGATACATTTGTTGATGTTGTTCTTTGTTGTAAATTTTAAATGAATAAACAAATAAATATTTCAGGAAGAAAATATTTGTCATATGAAGGATGAAATCTGCTTAGAGTGAAACGCTGCTCGCAAATTGAGCAGTGAACTCATTTCTTAATTTGAATTGACCGAATCTTGAACATGCTTTTGACAATACCTTTTGAATTGTTGGGTTCTCATATGGCAGCTCCATAAATTTCTTCATCCAAACAACAAATGCATACAAACTCCAATATTTTTTTTTTAACTGAAACTGTTATTGAATGATCAATCATTTTACTACCACGTTTGATCTTATTTGACACTGTAAATCATGAATTATTCGTAGAAAGTATGCAAATGCACACATTATCACATATCTTTGATTTCACAAATTAATATCAGTAAGGAAACACAATGTAGAAACCAACAATAGCACATAAAACGGATAAAACACAGCGTTTCAATGCCCCTGTTTAACGTTGGTGCACACATTTTATCTGTCTAAGAGCAATAGATCCAATATATGGTTTATGGTTCATTCTTCCATACATATCCTACAAGCAATGTAGGTGCAAGATTAAAAAATACATTATATCATATACGGTTCATATCAAAGAGACATAACTCATGTAACAAAATTTATTGACGCTGAATAACAACCCAGTCCAAGAACTAACTGATATACAACCTTTGTAATAATGTTATGAAAATCCAAAAAGAAATGTAGCTTTAAGAATACTTAAAACGTATTCACGTTGCAATACAATTTTGATACGAGTAATGTTTCCAAGAAAAACATGACCAACTGACCAACTATAGGTCATAGCACGGCTTTCAACAATAAGCAAAATCCATATCGTATAGAAAGCTTTAGAAGACCGCGACATGACAACATGTGAAGCATTTAAAAAAAGACAACAGTAGTTTTCCGATGTGCAGATTTCATAAATCCTTTAAAAAAACAAATGCAGGTAACACACAACCTGGGGGAACCAAATACAATTCTAAAATGTGCGTCGTATTTCAATTTACGTACTCTATAACCAACATCACCGTAAAAATTGGGATGAAAAAAAATTAGGCTTCAGAGTGCTTACACTGCAGTTTTCTATAGAACGTGTAGAATTTACATTTCCAAGTAGCATAATTTCTTCAAAAACAGATGTTCGGCACAAAACTGTGTACCCGTGTGGGCGTTTACATGACCAGATGCATCAAAACACGAACCACTGGACGGATAGATGCACGCCCGGACACAGGGGAATACAAGCAGACAGAAGAACGGACGCCTAGTATTTCTCTTTCCAGCCCATCGCATTGCGATAGAGAACCTAAACGTGATGTTTCTGCAATGTGTAATTAGCAATGATTAGTTGTTTAAACTTAAACAAGATTGATGTACAAATATTGTTCGTGAAATAACTCGAATATTTTTTTCTTTGTCTTTCTTTTTGAAACCAAAAGATGAAGGACATTATATATACCTTGAGGGTAAAGATATACCAAAAGGTGTAAAATCGAATTTAACCAGTAATACTATTAACTCCGTTGATGGTGTATGTTTTACTTTCTGGTACCATATGTATGGAGTTGGTATGGGGACGTTAAATGTTTACACAGAATCGGAAATCATTACTAAAAGGCATTGGTCACAATCAGGGAACCAAAGAAACTTATGGAAGTTCGTCAATTTAGACATTTCTAATTCAGAACCGTACAGGATTATATTTGAAGGTGTTCGTGGAAACTTTCATACGAGTGACATTGCTTTGGACGATATTTTCTTACTGCAACATACATGTTCAGGTAAGTAAGGGAGCTTTTCGACGACAAAATGTATATATATTTACACTCTGTATTTGAATATGTCAACAATCTTTGTCAGCAAAAGCATCGATATTTCTTTCGATATTAATTAGCATGAAAATAGGTAAATTGGTTTTCCTATATTATTCAAACTTTTTTAATTACAAGGTCGATACCACTACTTTTGAACTGTCAGTCCTCGAAGGTATCACCAGCGCAGTAGCCAATACTATGATACTGACAGGATGTAATTCTAAACATACATTTATAGATGTTCCGTTAAAGATTCTAAATCCCTCAGGAAAAGTTGACCTCTGATGGTTTTGGTTATTCTTTTCAGGTCTATGTTGGTGATTTGAAGATACACCTTGTAATTGTATTCTATTCTCAATTGACCATTTTGATCTCAATATCTCAATACCATCTGTAAAAGCCTGAACTTATACAGGACAAGTCTTGTTGAGAATTTCGGTTATATTTCAGATATTTTCTTGATTTAAATTCAGTACTGTTCAGTTGGTTTTATAGACAATTATGTATGTGTTTTGTTTAAGTAAATAACACGAAATGAACAGTCTGAAGATGAATCGAACAGATCTACATTGACTGCCCACGAATTTTCTGAACAGTACTGAAATGCTGAATTTATCGCTGTAGAGTAGTTCAAATATTGCATGAAAAACTGAACATAATCTTATAATTTATTGTTTAGATTTTCACGTGCTGTTTAAACCAATAGATTCTTCAGTAAACAAAATATTCAGTAGTGTTAAATCCAATGACGCGCCTCGGACGCAACAAATTGAAAAACTGTTATAGTCATTGCGCTTTTTTTTAACACAATGTTTAATATACCATCCTAGTCTCTTTGGCATGGGCGTACCCTAAGAACGATAACGTTTAAAATATTCAAATCATGGCCACAAGACCCATGGGTAAACTGGTTTATCGTACAATAAGACATTTTATAGACGTCTTTTAAAAGAAGAAGAAAATACGAACAAAACACCACATAGAAAACTTTAAAATGAGCAACATGAACCCAACAACCAACCGGAGGTGATCTCATATGATCCGTAAGAGTCCTCTTTACGGCCAAAATAGGCAATTGAATGGCATTTTTTAAAAGTTAAGTATTGAAGAAGCTATAAAATATATTTAGACGATTGCTTAAGCAATGTTTAATAAAATGTTGTTTCTAGCTTCGTTTATCCGACAAAATATGTTAAGTTTTACACAAGTTGTTACATTTTTCTTTCACGTAACCGAAATCAATTTATTTATTTCTAAAAACAAAATGATAACAATTGGTTAGTGTTTAGACTGTCCTTCATTTACATTTTACGATAATAATTCGATACTGGATAATATAAATATAACAGTTTTAAGCAGTTTTTCTATTTGTGGGTGCCCTCTTGATCTTATTGATCGTTATAAAATATCTATGTATATTACTACGGATACATTTCATTTGTCTGAGTCACAATCCGGTCATTGTTTTCCCTGATAACATCCACGAGAGCATCATATCATCGGAATGTTATACGTCTTGGTCCCATTAATTGGTTATGAGTTGATAATCTTCATATCACCAGAACCCAGTCAAATGTTTCGACGACATTCGTGTGATGTTCAATCACTTATTTGGATGCTTTGGGAATGGTATTAAACCAAGGGTTCCAGTTGTTGAAGTTCAAATCATACTTTCAAAAATTTAACGGACGACATTACGAGTTGGTTGACCGTTATGGAAAAATTGTTTCATAAATGACGACTGATATGTTCCAAATGTTGCAACCATGACATAACCGAATTAGAATCATCACCGAGTTTTTACTTATGTGAGCAACACGACGGGTTTCCCATGTGAAGAAGGATATGATTACCCTTCCGGAGTTCCTTTGTTGTCCTCCTGTATCGGAAGGGTTTGTGTTGCTCAGTCATTAGCTGCCTACGTTTTGTTTTGTATACTGTTGTTTTTGTCGTCTTTTTTGCCATGGCGTGGTCAGTTTGCCCTGGACCAATGTATTTGGAAATTCCTTTGGTATCTTCCTCCTCTATTTTTCCGTGGTGTTTTCTGTTGTTTACTGACATGATATTTTGATTGTCACCTTATGATTTCGTGTTCTGTTTTAAATTATATGTTATGATAAATGACATAAGCATCTAGGATATATAAAGTAAATAAAAAAGGCTTAAATGCAGTGAATGTTAATAATGATTCAAAGATTTGTAATCAGAGACCCTGGTAAGAAACTCATTCCAAAAAGTACCTTCTATCATACTGTAAATTGCAAATGGGTATTTTGTATGTGGGATGTTTTCAAACAATAACGTGGTTCAACAAATGAAAATACCAAACAGAAAATACAAGACCAGAAGCAATTCTGAATCTATAAATTTGAAGATAATTAACATTTAAATCCAGTATGCATGGTCTGGGAGAACATAATATATTTATTTGTTGTATTTATCCTTGAATAAGCTGTCAGTGACTACGAATACTCTTAGAAGAGTACTTTGTTTGATTTTTTTTTTTTTTTTTTTTTTTGTTGCTTGTACCAATCTATATCATTTTGTCATTTCGACATGATCTTATCTTTTGTTGTTACATCACTTCCCCAGCTAAGGGATGATTGAGCGGCCACACACATGTTTAACTCCACAACATTCTTTATGTGTCTGTTGGTTGCACTTTTGTATATATATAGACAATGCAATTTCCCATAGCACTTTCACTATGAGGTTTTTTCAATAATTATAACTTGGAATGGAATATTCACATGCGTTACTACTTTTTGCACAGTTCAGAACAAAAGGCTTTGTATCATATTTCAACATGTATATGCCTCAAATTTCTAAGAGTTTAGCTTCAACCTAAAATTCTGTTCTATCCCTCCCTTTACTTTGAATATTCATGAGAATTCAATTTGACCGCTATCCAATTATATTTATACTGGTAGAATTCCAAAGATGTGTCTCTAAAATATGAAAAATGGAGGTCATATCTGGGAACCAGTAGGAAAACAAAACAAAATAGCTATCAATACTAATTATATCCCCAAAAGAAACAGCTGCATTTCCAAAGTATAACCTATTGCAAGCCTCTTTTTCAAAGACGGCTACTAACATAATTGTGGAAAACACGAATCAATGATTTTCTAATGGGATTATTTTGGAATTCCTTCATGATGTTTAGTAACACTGTGAAAAAAAATGAACCATGGGTTATCCAGACAACATACTACCGATTGTATAGTTACTATAATACAATATAAACAACATAAATATTAATATTAAATTGACTGTTAATTTTTTTATGACATTTTGATTTATTTGGCATTTGCTCAATTTTATTAATATCATTATTATCATTAATATTTTAGTTGTAAGGTAAACATAATAATTGAAAGGTTGTGTCTTTTGTAGGTGTGATGGACTATACAGAGTCATGTCGTAAAATTGACGAATCTATATCACTGTCTGGGTGTTCAAAGTATTACCTACAGCTTAACAACACAAGGTTTGATTTCGATCGAAGGTTGGCAAACTGTTCAACAGTATACCAAGACGTTCAAGCCTCAAGCAGAACACTATGTAACGATATGAACAATTCAGACATTTGCACATTTAATCTGTCTGAAGAAATACAAAAAGACCCAAGATGTTTTCAATCAAACAGTCTTCTGATTGAGTATAAATGTGAAGGTAATGTTTTACATAAATATTATGTATCTTTGATTTTGATGATACTATTTAAAGAGGTTAACAGAAAGAGAAAGAACAATAACTTTGTGTGGTAAAAAAATCATTAAATGACTGGAATATGACAATTGTTTTCCATTCGTTTGATGTGTTGATCGAAAGGTAAATCGTTAAGGCAAACTGGAAGTTCTTATTTTCTTTTAAATCACAAAAGAGAGGCAAAAAACTACCAAAAGGAGCAAGTCGACAAGAACAGGTGCACAGTTGGTTCCCGTGGTAATGCCGATTGTTTGTTGAAAAAAATGTCCTCCAAATGTAAACAAGTTGTCAATCAAGAAATCAAGCATCTTGATATTGTCAGTTTTAAAGAAATTTTCGTTTCAATCAGAGTGATGTTTCACGAAGTACGATTTGCCTCTCCCTAAGAAATTGTATCTAAGTTTGCCATTCTCTTTTCTGAAAAGAGGAGGGACCAACTCTTTTAATTTTTCAAGTAATTTGGAATGTGGAATACTTCTGTTAGGTGTAGAAAAGTCGAATGTGTTAACACTATCAAAAGTTTAAAGTCTTAGATCGTATCTACTCTAAACGATCATAGGAATTTGCTTGTATCAACATCACGCCGCCTCTAGAATAGGTAGTTTCACAATAACTTTGAACCCTGGCTTTGATTGCTGATCAAATGAATGTTAATAATTAAGAAAGCGGTTTCTTGGAGCACTTGGTAGATTCAGCAATATGATGTTGTTTGTAAGGACACTTGTGTAATTTACGTATCCAATACAGTGAAGGAAGATCCAGTTCTTCTTCTTTGGTTGAAATTTCAAAGTAACATCTAACAGACCTATGATTATCCAGGATCTTTAGTAGGTGTCGTTGGGGTATATGTTGAGTTTTCAAGTGAATTGAGAGTATCTTACTCATTTATCAAGTAGTTCACAATATGATTTACACGCAAAAACGATGTGTTTGGGGCTTTATCTGCGGGGAGAACAACATACTTATTATGGAGGTAGGACAGGTGTTTTGCAACATTTGAGTCTTTAAAGATTGATGTAGCATGTGTATTCATAAACCCATTCAGTTTTAATTCTGATATGTATCAACGTCTTTTTATGTTTAAATGTAGATACAAACGGCATATTTTTTTAAACATACTATTTAACAGGAACAGGAAGCTATTAAAGCAAGAGGTCAAGAAGTGAAGTTGAAATCATCCCTTCGATAATTTTACGGCTGCCCCTGACTGTTATGATATATATGTTTCACAGATTACGACACATAAGTTTCAATTGCTGTAATTCCGTCCTATTTTCCCCGAATATAACCTACCGAATTAGGTTTTACCGGAGCTAAACATTAAAATAGGAGAATAAACATGACGTCAAACGCTGACAAACATTATAGGAGATATTGCCTCAGCTTAACTAATTATTCGTTAGTGTCATTAACAAACGTCGTCCTGAATAGACATGAAATACACTGTAATTGCCATCGAACGTAAAGCAAAATAACTCATCAAAGTTACAAGGATTTATAAAGGTGTACGCCAGACGTACGTTTCATCTACAAATGACTCATCAGTGACGCTCGAATAAAACAATTGTATCGGCCAAATAATGTAAAACGTTGAGGCATTAAGGGGTACAAAACACGCAAGGGAGGTAACTCTTTAAAACATCAGCTGAATGTTTTAATTACATACTATTAGTAAAAGAAAATTAAACGAGCTAAATCTATTTTAGTAAAAGTGTTGGGTACCACCTTAAGGGCCAACAATTCTGAAAGATTTTGCCAAATACATTTAAGGTAATCTATTCCTGGAGTAGAAAATTCTTATTATTTTGAACATTATTTAAAGTTTTTTAAACAATTAGTTGTCAGATCTAGCGATATTTATCACTCTAAAACTAAGAAATTTTTTAATCTGTATTAAACGATACCTATATTACTGTAATTTAACCTGCATACGCTAATTTGTCTACAGCCCTTATACATCGTCGCACCTGACCTAATTGTTTAAAACCTAATGATATGATAAGATTTCAGTTAAATTTGCAGCCATCATAAAACCCCTGCAATCTGGTGTAATGTAGATCCAGAAACCTCTTTGTCTATTGTAAAAAATCGTCAACTACTTCCTACATATAAGTACAGAGGATTTTACTCATTTCCACTGAATGAAAAAGTAAAAGTTCGAAAATATTAGGTTGTATATTTATGTATCATTAGTTCAACAAAAAAATATTTTTGTAAATTGCACATCTTTTTTGATATCAATGGTTCCAGAGAGAGTACATGTACCAAATATCTTATCAGACGATGGACAGAAGAGTATTGACAAAGGTAAGTCTATAAAGTGGGTAAGCCCGTAATTCGTGTAATTTTAGTATTTATAGTTTGTATACATATATTAGTATTGCAACGTTTTAAGGCACACTGCATTAGTCTACTGTATGTAACGAGGAAGTCACAATTTTTCACTTGAGTTTTTTCAGCACTGTTTACAAAATATATTTCTAATTGATCCAACAAAAGGGAAATCAATTAATCATGATTAGGGGTTTTTACTGCATTCAGCTATTTGAAAACTGTTGTAGGATGTGATTTTTTAAAAATCATGATTACTTTTTTTAGTGTTTTTTTACGTTTATTAGTTTCATAGCATGATTAAGAAATCAGTGAAACTAAAGACTAAACCTGGTAATGCAAAAAAAGTGATAGCATTATGTAGAAAAAAATATCAATTGAAATGTTTACATCGTTCTGGCTTCCTTAGCAGCTGAATTCGTTATTAACGTTTTAAACGAACAAAAAAGTAACTTATGTTTGATAAATATAAAAAAAAGAAGAAAACTTAATGTTCAGAAGTTATTAGTATACCGGAAGTCACATCGATAACTTTATATGAAAAATGTAAATCTTTTACAGGTTTAGTGGTTGGTATGGTAGTCGCTTTCTTGTTGTTAGTGTGTGTTGTTGTTTTAATCCTTTATCTCGTCAGAAGGTAATGTATTATTCGTTATACAAATTCTGTTTTGAAAGGCAAACGGTATATAGTGATTAGAGAGTTTATCCGTCTGTCTGTTCGTTCGTCCTTCTGTCCACGTTTGTATCCGCATCTGCTCCTGAACTGCGTGACATACATTTGTGTAACTTTCACATAATCTTACTCACATGAAAATCGTTTGCTCCTCCTATTTCATTTCTTTATTTAAACGATTATTTATGTCATTTACTTGTGAGTGACATGTAATTCGTCATGTATGTCATTATAAAACATGTTTTTATCAACATTTCTCACGATCTAAAAAATTTATTGCCACTGTGCACCTCCACTTATGTTCTTTGATTTGAATTAGTTTTTTTTATTTACAATTGCAAAGCATTCAATTTGCCATTATATTATTATGGAGAACTATGGATCCGACACTCCTCCTTAGGCCCATATAACAATATATCGAAACTTTCGCACAGCCTTAATGATGTAATGCTATCTGGAACCTCTTATTTGGAATCTTTATCAAACTCAATTTTAGTGTCCCCTCTCAAATGTACCAAACCGCGTAATTTGTCATTGGTTTATTTGGAATACCCGTTTTGTATCCGCGACTCCTTCTATTACCTTTTTACAATGTATTGAAACTTTAAAACAATTTTTACCATATAAAACGCTATTTGGCAAATCATATTTTTTTATTTAGAATTATTTGGGGACCTTGAAAATGGCGGGGGTCTCATCTTGTGGGATGTGATCGCAAATCCTCTAACTTTAAATGCAAAGATTTTTTTTTTTTCAAATATATAACCGAGCTTCTTCATTTTAATTATATATTGTTCTGAAACGTACATTTCCGTTACATTACATCTTGTCAATATGATCTAATGTTAAGATGTGCTATATGCATGTGTAATTTATACCATGTTCTATTATGTTTGATAATAAGAGAATAACATTTTAAAATATATGTATATCTATAACTTTCTGTTTTGAATTCGTTACTAGACACGTTCATGCCGAATTATTTAAATTAAAAAATACATGCAATCAATACTCCCTTTAAATCTTTGTGTTTAATGCACGCATGTATATTTTGAGAAAGAAACAAAACAAAACAAAACAATACGCCAAAGTTTTCTTTAACACTCAAAACAAAAGACTGAAGTATATTAGTTTTTTTTTTTTCAAAACAAAAATTAACATGATAGTGGAAGAAGAAAAACTGGATAACACATGTCAACCTACAAATAATCTGTTTGATACAATGTACATTACTGATGTCTCATTCTAATTGCAGGCGAGGTTCGTGCAGAAAAACTAATGAAAATCCGAAAAACGGATACAACACGAATAATTCTGCTGGTAATCAAGTTGCATCTTTCCCAAGTGTTACTGCTGACACCAATAATCTAAATAGTGCACTCACTACGACACAAATCAACAATTATAATAACATCTATGACAACACAGAGTTTAGGGATGATATTATCGATTCCGATTGTGAATATTCAAATATTGCCAAAACTAACTCTGTAATAAATAAAATAGGAACAACTGTTTCTAAATATAGAGACTATCAATGTGATGTAACTAGTTATAACCCCTCATCACATCACGATGAAAATGATTTTGCCAATCAGACCAATGAGACGAGCTTTATGAAACGGCCAATACACCAGACAGGCTCGACAAAATCCAATATCGTTATTGAGCATCAAGGAACAATCTTTGAAGGTTCTGAGTTTTATAAGCTTGCTAAGCCTACATGTTTCAGCGACGAGAAACATCACATGAAAACTGAATATAATGACGTGTATTGTTCGTCTGAAGAAGGAACCTATGATTTTGCTGAAAGTAATCGTCACAAAGAAGCTGATGATAATATTTATAGTCATACCGTTGATGATGTTTACGATTCAACGACCCATAAAAGAAATCATGATGACCAAGAAGATGAATATGATCATTTTAGTGGACAGTTAACAGAAGATGTGTATGATACCTCAATCTGATATAATTTGATAATTTAATTTTATATGTTTGTCTTTCAATTTTATACCATGTTGTTATTCTTAAGATTATTAGTTTTTTTCTGCTGCTTTCGACACTTTTTGGATAATTTTGGCTTGCAAGATACAAGACAGGAATTTAGTAAATGTTATCGTAAAGATAATACGCTTTTGACATTTATTCAAATCCTTCTTGAAAATAACCTTTTCATTTACAGAGCTATCTGGGCTATATTAGGTTGTTCTTGTTTTCACACATTTGAAAATGCGAGGACATTGACATTTTTTTTTAAATTTTGCTATATGCCCAGTAAATTCAACCCATCTTGATCGAACCAATCAAGTGATAGCTTGCGGGAGTTATACATGTATGCCCATCCTAAATTATAGAACTATTTGTTTTAAATATGTACTATGTTATAGTATGTTCTTTCTGACAAGGCTTGAATTAGCACGAACCTATCTAATCTAAGGTTTAAACAAATATTGACTTATCTTGCTGTTCAACTTTGCTTTAACTATGTCAATATAACTAATGCGCCTCAAATTGGGGTAGTAAAAATATTACGTAAACCAAAAGTCTCAGTAATTTTGGACATGTTTCAATTTATAGAATAACACATTTAATTTACGTACAACTATAAGGCATGAATTAACGATCTCAATTTATTTTATTAACTAAAACTTATTTGTAGATCCTATATTACTGATCTTTTTGCTGTAAACAGATTTTGATTTTGTTAAACATGTTAAAAAGTTCTAAAAAATGGGCGAAAATTTCTAAGTTTGCCGTAAAATTGTTATCTTCTTTGGGCAAAAGTTGTAACGCCTGTAAGGAGTCGTATGGTATTTTTGATTGTACCATATGGTAGATAAATCTTGAATTTTTCCTCTTGTTTGCCACAACCAGATCTTCTTTATAAGGGTTTGTTTAAGAAATGTGACGATGACTTTCATATTTTCCCTATATTTCATGTTTAGTATGTCGGCCATGTTGATTGTAGGAAGAAACAACAACAGCAAACAAAGGCAAAATTGCAAAAAAAAAGCGAGACACAAACTTTTTAATTGATACTCTAAGCATAATTTAATACAATTGTGGTTAAAATTGTTCCTACTGTTTGCGAGAAGAAGATTTTTAAAATACAAAGTACGACATCTACCACTTCAATGTTGTGGCAATGCCTGACACACTGTGGTCGATAATATCAAAAGAGATTACAAGCATTTGCTGTAAACTATTTATAATGTGAAGAACAGTATTTGGTACAAACGGGAAAAATTCCATTAAACTGTTAGATTTCGGAATGAAAGAGGGGCCAACGGCAGAATGATTGACATGGTCAACACACCTCCCTTCCCCCCTGAGTGAAGAAGATTAAACAATTAGAATATACAGTTTTTTATATTGAATTGTTGCCAGAAAACTAAAGCACTCAAAAGGTTCAATTATATTATATTTTCGAGAGACTATTGCTCATACACTTGTTATAACTGTCATATATTTTATTACAATTAAAAACCAACAAAGAGAAGAGATTTCTTTATATACATTTTCTTCATTCATTCAAAGTATCATATTATTGCTACATGTACTTTTTTACGATTTAACAATAAAACATTTTTCAATAAAACATTCGGTTAAAGTAGCTATTGTACAATTTAACCATGTAGTAATTCTCGATTTACCTGTAATGTGTTGTATAGTAATGTCAGAACCAGATTGATGTTACCTGTAGGTGCAGTCATTTGTATTTTAGATATAATGGTTGATAACGGTATTTATTCATCCTAATTAAAATCAGTTATTTAGACTTATAGATAATTGATAAGAAAGTAAAAAAAAAATCTAAAGTTCAGTAAGTTTTGAAAAGTAAAAAAAAAATAGACTATTTTATATATAGATATATTCATTAGAATTTTGTGTGTTGTTCTGATCGTCACACGGAAATACATTTTATCAAAGTACTTCTTTGGCACTGCAGTATACATTGACATTCCTCGTTTTATCTTTAAACGTGGATAAAATGCCTCAGGTTATTGTTTTTTTTCTATTACTGGATTTGTTTTCTGTAACTTTGCAAATATCAGGTAAAGAACATTTCGCCCTAACAACTTTTGTACTATAATTGCTTAATTAAGATTATACCGTTACAATTTGCTAATATGATACGATATGTCCAAATATAGTAATTCCGGCATACAAATCTGTTCTTGTCTGTTGCAAAAATAACATTACAAAACTAATTTTGTATGTCACTAGATACAGAAATATACATCGAATTGGAAAAATGTTGTCTATCACTGGGAACATGTACACTTAAAAATGTTTTAAAACTGTAAAGGAAATGGCAAATTTTACGAAAAGGAGATTGAGATCTAAAAACACATCATATATTTACTTGACTGTCCCCAGTCAAAACCTCGGCCTTGGTTGTTTTATGTTACTTTTATAACTTGATGCATTTTAGTTTTTGAAACATTGAGTGGATCCTGACCGTCATTGTTCAATTTATTCAAATGCTTAGGAACAATTTAAATCTTGAATTGGCGGATTGTTTAGACACCGGTCTATTGTTAAAGATGTCGTCCATCTAGATGTCTTCTGTGTTTTTGTTCATGTTGGGTTGTTGGCTTGTTGATTTATACCTCGAATTTACTTTTGGTTTAATTCTTAAATGCAATAGACTTGTCGTTTTTGACTGTTCTGCTAGGATTAAATTTTTATCCAAGTGATGGGTAGCATAAACAAGATATAAGCATTATGTCTCTTAAAATGTTCTACACAATTATTCTTATCAAGGTTTTAGATATCAACATCGTGGTATGATTGCATTTCCACCAAAGCCAAAATGGCAAAGATGATAGCTAATACGTGAGGTCTGCAATCGTGAGTAAAATTCATACAGCACAGTCATGCAGCTGTAAATGGCCCCGGCATGACAGCAATATTTTTTTAAGTACATTAGCGAGTTCGTTGTCACCAGGCGTCTTTTTTATTTTTATTTTTTTTGTCTGTTTGATTTATACATTTTGAGCCCAATTTCTTTACATTTACAGGTTCAGTTTTCTGCAACTTATTTTCTATATTTGGTCAAAATGTATATACTTGAGGGTAATTAAGATGGGGGCTGTGCACGAACGAATGGGAAATAAAATGACAATTGTTATATCATGAATATGAACGACAAGTCAAAAAAATAGTTACCCGTTTTTTTTTTATCAAGTAGCACGAAGTACGTTGAATAATGAGTTTCAACCGAAAAAAACAACGCGTCGTGTATGTGTATATATACAATGTACGTAATATAATTGTGTCCTGAATTTCATCATATTTTGAAAACTAAAAGTCTACCAATTTAATTTAAAAGTGATGGAAATAGATGAGTTTGGGTTAAAATAAGTTTTTTTTAATATATACCGGTAAATTTTAATATTGCTGCTATTGCTGGAGCAACATCTTCTATAAGAATATAACTCTCAAACTTGATGGTATAAGAAAATTGACATTATTTCTTTAAAGGAAACTAGTACTTTGAGGACAAAAGTAAGATTTTAAGGAAGGAAACCAGAATAATTGTCAAATGTCAAATGTAATGTGTGTTTAAGAAGTTTTTAAAATATATACAGAATAAGTTGAAAGTATAATAAAATGTTTCATGACAAACACTATGTATGATGTTTGTTTATGTTGAAAGCATTTTTTAATAAAAAAAAAATCATCCAAAACTGGAAAAGTAAATAAAATGAATATTATGATTTTGTTGACAAATCAGTTGCCAAGACTTTAATAGAAAGACCTCAATATTTTGTTCAGCTATGTATAATTTGATCAAGAGATTGAGAAAAAGTTGGAAATTAATATTGTTGATACAGATTAAATTGAGTTACTGGAACTGTATTAGTTTCGCTATAACGCAGATTATAGCCGGTAGATTCAGATATAAAGGATGGCATCCTATTTGTTATATAATCCGACATCTGTCTGATTGTTAGTGTGTATGTATATTAAAATAAGGAGACTTGCTATGACGGCCGATGATGTAAGGAGCAAAATATCACCTTACGTGGCCCTTCGACAATGAGCTATTCCCATACCGTAGTCAGCTATATAAATCGCCGACTTGACAACATGCGAACCAATTCAAACCCTTAAACCAACAGCCTGAGTTATTACAAAACATTAACACAAAAACACAGCCTTCCACGACAACCACTGAATTTCAGGCACAGATATTGTTTTATCGGTGCAATCAATTTTGATTGTTTTCTGAAAACTTGAAGATAACTAATTTCATATGTAAAGTTATGAGTACTCATTATTTTACACCATGTCGATACTGTTTTTTTATATTTTATTATTGCACAAGGTCATGCCTTTTATAGACTATCGTCTCTAAATCTGTTTGTTGAGGACTGACTGCTACTTAAGTCTCGGTGAAAATGGTTTATTTAGTAGTTGAAATTTGCTTTGAATAACTAGCTTTCAGAAACTGCGAGTACTTTTGTTAAAAGTGAATTGTGTCTATTAATTTTATGTCAGTTGTGATTATGTTCGTCGTACCGATTAATTGAGTTAAGCAATTTGCAACTGATATCTGCAGTTTATTCCTATCTTGTTTGGTAACACTACTGTCCCAAGTAATCCAAGTAATCCGGTCTGGTCACTGCGTTCTTCGTTTGTTTAGGTACTTATATATCCTTGGCTTTCAAATATTTGGTATCGAGCGTTTCTGATGTTAGTAAATTCAGAAAAGCGTTTCGGACGCATACTAATTCATGTATTTATAAAGTTTTGTTTCATATTAAACACACTATATTGTGGTTCTGTTCTGAATGTCTTTTAGTCACAAGTTCTGGAGAGAAAATAATTTTAAAAATCTGCTATATCCTTCCATAACGGATTCCAATATCAATGGTTTGGATTGAATAACTTTTGTTGTTAAACATATAATATATATTGCTAAAAATGGTGAATGATCATAATTATTTAGTGTTTGGGATATTCGTATTTACCACGTTTCATCGACTTTTAATATTTGACTATGTTTACCTAATTTTGTAATTTTGTATAAATGCATTTGCAAATTTAATATGATTTTAATAAAAATCAACGAGTCTTTTCTAAATATAATGTAAAAGTGTAGATACAAAATTATGAATTAAAACAATCATCAATCTGAATTTTAACATGTTTAAGTACTAGGATATACATATAGATTAATACACACACGATAAACCTGAATGAAAGTATATTTAGACTAACCTAAATGACTGTAAACTTCCTCAATTAAGCAACAAATATGAGAAAACGGTCAGGAATTTCATAAGGTTGTTAACTTCGGAGCTATTCATACTTTTAGTGATTTATGTAAATGCAATATCGGATAAGTGCTCTTTTTATTTGTTTTGTCTCAATTCCAATCATGTTTTTTACATCCAATCATGTATGGTAATACTCTATAAAAAATCACAAAAAGGTCGTCATTCACCTTACATCCAACTCCTTTGTTCTAACAGGGGTGATTTGTGCCGGATCACCCCACCATGAGTTTCTTTTTACTGCATGTTTTCTTTTGTTCTGTAACATTTTTGCGGGAATGTCGAACACACAATAAAACTTAGAAATATTTATGCGGAATATAGTCTAACTTTCAAAATTTATGTAGAAAAAAATCCACTAAATTTCCAATGTCTATGCGGGGAATCGAACTCAGGACCGCAAGCAGATGAAGCCATGATGCATCCTCCTACACCAGGACGACTGGATACGAACTGACGGCAAATTTAACATATTTAAACATTGTATCGGTGCTCATAAATGGTATATAATATATAGTAATATATCAAGTATATTATAATTATTGTATGGCATTCTGAACTAACTGTTATGAAGCGTAAATGTTTTTCATATAGTCTAGAAGACCTGGGATGTAAAATAGGTATCCCACTCGGACTTGGTGTGTCAGTGTAAGATCACCCTCTGGCCTCTGGCCATCGGTGTGATCTTACACTGACACACCTCGTCCTCATGGGATAACTATTACTGAAAGCTAACCGAACCTTGAACAGACTTACAAACCTGTTTGTGCATTTTTAATGGTCATTGTCTAAGACACCTTTTAGTTGATCGTCTCCGATCAATAATCAGACGGTATTTGAGTGGAAATACAAATCCGCCCGAAACCGGGAAATGTTTATTTATTTGTTTATTTTTTTTCTATCAAATTATTGTTCATTTTGCTTTTTATTTATGCTTTTTTTTTCTTAAAGTCAATCAATTATATCAATTTCCTTAAGGTAATAGTAAATTATTAAACGCCCAAACTGGCGCAAGCCACAGCCGATCAAGGACGTTAAAAACAGCCCTCATCATCATCTTATAGTGGCCGTAATGGATTGTAAATTCATGTCGTTTTGTTTTTGGCATTCGTCTAACGTGAAGAAAAAAGAGGGAGGGGGAGAGGGGAGTAAGAACTTAACTTACGATTTTGATCATGGTTTAATTTTTATACAAGTACGGCATACGTTTTAACTCTAGCCAACGCTCTATCTTATAAAAGTGTAGCTATAAAATTGTTATCATTTGGTTCAGGTCGATCCGCTTTGCATCTCGTCGTGAACATGCATGACATATTTGTCATCATTCTTTAGTTGATAATTGTCTTCCAATTTTTATATATTTGATTTTTATTTATATTTGATTTTAAGTGTAAATTTTACCGTTTCTCTCCTCATTTTTCTCTTTGCATTTATTTTTTTTTTAACATTTAATAAA